CCTTCAAGCTAAGAAAAGAGAGACAACATATGTTGGGAAGATCACTATTAGTCCTTAACATGCATTTCTACGGTATTCTTGTGTTTCTAAAATCTCGCGAATCAAAGAGACCCTTGACACAACACACCATGTTGTCCTTAAAATGGATTGATTTCTTATAACTTGATGAAACAAAGGCAGTAACACTGTTAGGTTATGGAGTTGGTACAGTTTCCAAGTTTGCATGCATCAGAACAAGAATTCTTTGGTGCTAGGATTATATGATTATGATATCATAATCTAATGAAAATCATGTCAGCAAGTTCCAAAAAAAATCAAAATATTCACACATATACAAGATCTGTAACCCCATAAATATATCTGGCCATCTTCGGCCCGGCCCGGCCGGCCCGGCCCGGCCCGACCCTAAAAAACGGGGCCTAGGAGGGCTGGGCTTGATCAATGGGCCGGGCCTGGGCCTAAAAAGTAAGCCCTAGCAGTTATTGGGGCCGGGCCTGGGCTTCAATATTAGACCAAAATTAGGCCCATCCGACCCTTCCAACAACAGCAGCCAGCAGCCCAGCAGTCCACCTCCACGCATCGAACCCTAACCTATCCACTCGCATCTCGCAGTCTCGCACGCCGCACGTCCCTCCCCTAGTCCCCCTCCTATGTCTATGTCCCGTGCTGGCGGCGGCGAGTCAGCGACCTACCCTAGTCGCCCTGCAGTGTCGCGTCCCCGTCCCGCACCGCCGCCGGCAGGCTGCCTCTCCTCCCCAACCGCACCGCCGCCGGCAGGCCTCCTCTCCTCCCCAACCGCGACGCCGGCAAGCTTCCTCTCCTCCCCAACGGTGCCGCATCCAAGACATCCACCGCAGCAACGAGCTCTGCATCCCCTGGTTGACATCCACCGCATCAACTAGCTCAGCTGTCGTCCGAGCGCCGCCGCACCTCTGCTCTTAAGGTAATTTGATGCGGATTTTTTTCCGTTCTTAACCGATTAGCAGGTGTACATACATGTCAACATGATGGATTTGATGCAGATTTGTTGCTGCTGTACATGAATATAAGTGTGTGTAGAACTGTAGATGAACTCGCTGTTGTACATGAATACAAGTGTGTATAGATGATTGATGAAACAATGGCTATACGTGTGTGTTGATATAGATTTCTTGCTGCTGTTGACATATATATTTCTTGCTGTTGACATATATATTTCTTGCTGTTGATATAGATTTAGCATGGAGGGGCATGAGGGTGATGAAGCAGATTATCATCCTGAAGAATTAGAAGGGCATGAGGGTGAGATGGAGCTGTTTATTGTACCTCCAAATCTTCCTCGTGTACGGCAGAAAGTTGCAAGTAAAAGGGGAAGAGGCCAACATCTAGTGCACGTTCAGGAAGTGGACAATCGGCACCACAACAGCAGCCTACAGCCGAAGCACAGCAGCAGCCTACAACCAAAGCACAACAGCAGCACACTGCCTCCTCTAGCAGTAGAACACTGAAGTCAAAAGTATGGTTGGACTTCACCAAGATATACAAAGATGGTGATGCTGTAGCTAAGTGCAACCATTGCTCCGCTGAGCTGTCAGTTAAATCTGGACACGGTACATCTCATCTCCTTAGGCACACCGAATCGTTGCATAAGACTGATCAATCAACAATGAATACTTTTTTCTTGAAATCTGAAACAAATGATGATGGAACAAATGCATTGAGAAATGTTAAATATGATGCTCAAGTAGCCAGACATGGAGTCTATTTATCTTGTGTCCGGTTCTCATCCATTTACAATAGTTGAAGAAGATGGTTTTAGAACAATGATGACTGCTTGTTGTCCAGCATTCAAGAGTATTGGTCGGCACACAATAAAAAGAGAGATAATGGGAATGTTTCTTTCCCAGAAAAAAGAATTGCTTGAAATTATTGTTGCTGCCCCTGGTAGAGTAAGTTTCACATCTGACAATTGGAAATCTGAAGTCACCAAGCATAGCTATATTTGCATTACCTGTCATTACATAGATGCTGATTGGAAACTAAACAAAAGAATTGTCTGGTTCAAAAAAATTGATCCACCATATGATGGAGCATCTATTGCCGATGAGGTCCATCTAGCTTTTCGTGAATGGAAGATTGAGAAGAAAGTAATGTGCATCACTCTTGATAATGCAACCTATAATGATAGAATGATTGTTTGCTTGCGAACCCACTTGTCTCAAGGTGCTTTACCTTTGTCCGGCAAATTCTTTCAAATTCGTGTTGTGCACACATACTGCATTTGGTAGTTCAATCTGGTTTGACATTGATTGATGGTGCTGTAGCCAAACTTAGAGATGGTATAATGTATCTAAAGGCTTCAAGTGATAGGCTGCACAAGTTTTATAGCACTGCTACAACTACTTTCAACTTAGAAGAATCAAAGAAGTTGAAACCTGACATGCCCATTCGTTGGAATTCAACATATACTATGCTTGGCTCCTTTTTGTACTTAAAAAAGTGTTGCAGTGGTATTCTGAGAGGGATAGCATCTTCAAGGTGCATTTTTGGCCAAGTGAGGAAGAATGGTCCAAGGTATCTCATATTTATCAGTTTTTTGAGGTTTTCTTCAAGGTAACTACTGTTTTCTCAGGAACAAAATATCCAACAGCCAACTTGTACTTCATGAATGTTTATCTAGTCCATACTGCTATTATTGAGGCTACCGCTGGTATAAATAGCTACATGGGTCCAATGCTGTTTGCTATGAGAGAAAAGTTCATGAAATATTGGTCTGACTATAGCGTATTTCTATCTTGTGCTGCTGTTCTTGATCCCCGTATCAAGTTCAAGTTCTTGGCTTATTCCTACTCCAAGCTGTATGAAGAGAATGATACCAAGCGTCGTCTTGCTGATGTTAGAAGTACATTGACTTCTTTATTTAATGAATATGGTAGTGTTGTACTTGTTCATGACAACTTACCCAAAACTAGTATGTCAAGCACTTGTGGACTTGGTGCCTTTTCTGACTATGATCAGTATGTGGAAAGCACGAGCACAGTTGAAGAGAAATCTGAATTGGAATTGTACTTGGCTGAACCTACCAAGAGGTTGAATGAGAACATTCATATCTTGGATTACTGGAGCAAGTCTGCAGCTAGGTATCCGCAGCTAGCAAGATTGGCACGTGATATCCTTGCTGTTCCCGTGTCAAGTGTTGCATCAGAATCTGCTTTTAGCTTGAGTAAGAAGGTTATAACCCCGAGCCGAGCCTCACTTAAACCAAAGACGGTTGAGGCCTTGATGTGTTTGCAAGATTGGTATCTCTGCAAATTGGAGAAGAAAGATGGTATATAGTTTAACTTACTTTGTTTATTTCTTCATGCTATGTACTTTAGAGTTTATAGCTAACGTGTTGTTGTAGTTGTTGTAGGTAATAAGAGAAAGGCAGAAGTGGTTGAGCTAGATGATGAAAATTCTTCTTCCGATGATGAATGTAACATCCATATTCTTTGTTCATGTCAACTTGTGAAGTTCAACATGTACTTTAGCTAACCTGATGTTTATTGCATTTTGTAGAGTTCTTGCTAGAGCACTGAGATGAGTAGAAGATTCGGAGAAGGCATGTCGAGATGGCAACCAACAGCTACTGGTCCTTATTTTTGGTTCTATGAATTGGCCATCTGGCATGTAATAATACATTTATGCACTTGTGTTTCTAGAAACTCGAAACTGGAATGTTTGATAGTATTTGATGTGAAAACAATGCTCTTTAGTGCTGTTTTGGTGCTGATGTGTTGCTGTTTTGGTGCTGCTGTGCTGCTCTTTATGCACTTTTGGTGCTGCTGTGCTGCTCTTTATGCACTTTTGGTGCTGATGTGCTGCTATTTTGGTGCTGTTGTTTGTCTTTAACATACTATTTGCTGTTTTGGTGCTATTTGATGTGTTGTTTTGATGTCAACGTCGGGGGCCTTTGAGAGGGCTTAGGGCTTTCGGGCTTTCTGTGTTGGGAGGGCCTGGGCCTGGGGAACGTAGTATTTTCGTGGGCCTGGGAGGGCCTGGGCCTGGGAAACAGACCTAGGGCTTGATGGGGCCTGGGCCGAAGCCCGGCCCGGCCCGGCCCATGGCCAGATATACCCATAAACAAGGTTGATATTACAAGATAATGTCCGAGCTGAGTGAAAATAACAAATGATTTTTTTTTGCGGGATAACAAATGAAATTGTCGCGCACAAGGCTATAGTAGGTTGCAATATGAATCCACAATTTTCAAAACTTGGAAATCTGATTTATGATATGAATCACAAAATCAAATATCATAACCATAATCACATGATACCAAAATCAGTTTGATATTTCTCACATGCAGAGGGCCTTACGTGTAACTCCTCCGTTTTACGTTGAAGAAAATCACTCGGAGGGCCAATGAGATCGCACATCAGATTGCCAAATTTAACACTGATAGCAGGTCGGAGGACATTGTTTATAGTAGTAGTAGTTTTCCGCCTTACATGCCATTCAAAAAAAAAGTTTTCCGCCTTACATGGCTGTTGTTGTTGTAAGAAATTATTGTAATAACCTTTTAATTAATTATTAACAAACCAAAAAAAAGCAGGCAGGCAGCAGATTGCCACAACCACACGTTCCTTGTAGATTTTTATAATAGGGCGCATGTGCCGAGTCAGCAGAGAGCGGATCAAAATATCAAACCAAATCAAAATCTGGGCCCGTACCCTGTTGCTTTTCGGTGGGGTGCAACTCCCCGACGAGCGCCCGCGTCCACGAGTTTCCCGCGGCCAGCTTAGCACCACAAGCTCGTCTCCCTCTTGCTCGGTGCGGCGCTCTCTGATTGTCCATCTTGTCCCCGCGCGGTTGCGTGCTCGCCCCTGCGTTTATATGCACCACTCGCGCCCGCCTGCTTCTGGATCCCTCTCCTCCTTGCCACTCCCACCTTCCCTTCTTCCTCGCAGCAGCCTTATCACTTCTCCGGCTCACCCTAGCAAAGCGTTCTCCGGCCAGCGAGAAAGAAAGAGAGCGGAGGCATGAAGATCCAGTGCGACTCGTGCGGCGTCGCGGCGGCCACGGTGGTGTGCTGCGCCGACGAGGCGGCGCTGTGCGCGCGCTGCGACGTGGACATCCACGCCGCCAACAAGCTCGCCAGCAAGCACCAGAGGCTCCCGCTCGACGCGCTCGGCGCCAAGCTCCCGCGCTGCGACATCTGCCAGGAGAAGGCCGCCTTCATCTTCTGCGTCGAGGACAGGGCGCTCTTCTGCCGCGACTGCGACGAGCCCATCCACGTCCCCGGCACGCTCTCCGGGAACCACCAGCGCTACCTCGCCACCGGCATCCGCGTCGGCCTCGGCCCCGTCTCCGCCTGCGCCGCCGGGGACCACGGCGCCAGCCACGACGCCGACCACCCCGCCCCGCCCAAGCTCGCCTGCGAGCCCCAGCCGCCGGCCCAGCCCGCCGCCAGCGCGCAGCAGGTCCCCTCGCCGCCACAGTTCCTGCCGCAGGACTGGGGCGTCGACGAGCTCCTGCAGTTCTCGGACTACGAGTCCAGCGACAAGGTAGCAATCCAACTCCACCGCCGATACGATGATCTCTGTGCTCTGTGCTTGCCTTGCTTAGGGTTCCGTCTCGATCTTGTTCTCATGGTATACTCGTGTTAATTTGCAGCTGCACAAGGACTCGGCTCTCGGCTTCAAGGAGCTGGAGTGGTTCACCGCGGACATGGAGCTCTTCCACGATCACGCGCCCAAGGGCGGCAGGGCGACCATGGAGGTGCCCGAGTTCTTCGCCTCGCAGGCGGCAGACGACGCTGCCTACTACAGGCCGAGCAGAGTCGCCGCCACCGCCGGCTTGCGCCAGAGCAAGAAGGCCCGCGTCGAGATCCCCGACGACGAGGACTTCTTCATCGTGCCTGATCTTGGCTAAGGGATACTCCTAGATGCTAGTACCTCCTCGTGTGATTTTGCAGTGTCGTTGTATACAGAGAGGAGCTGTGTACAAAAGCTAGTGTTCTGTCGAACTGTGCCCTGTGCATCTTGACGTAGCATCGCTGAACTGTGACATATAATAATTATCGTAAGATATGAGCTTTGCAAAATGGAAGCTTTTGATGTGCCTCTGTGCTTTTGCGCTAGTTAAAAAGATCACAACTACAGAATAGAAAAGTAAAATGATGGACTGACAGATGATGGGCTGGACCAAACAATTTCGATACTGAGACAACAGCATAACTGCGTAACTGTACAGTTCTGAAACTAAAACAGAGAACGGTGATCATTTTATTTTTCGATGCTAACTGCAGCTCTGACTGACACACAGCATAACTGCACAAGTCGATCGTTTTATTTTCCATATGCAAATAATAGAAACTCATAGACTGCAATACCATCGAGTAGAATACAATGGTTTGTGAGTTGGGAATGAGTTTACAGAGGACGTTTACAAGGGGGTTCTAGGCGTGGCCCCTAAGTTGAGCTGCTGTCAAGCGGTTTCACCAGAGCGTGAGATCATCCCTGATATTTAGAAGTACGGTAGACCTAGGTAGATCCTATTGCCTGAAAACATTTTCCTTCCTTGGCCTTGCATCCCATATTTCCCAGAGGGTAATGAGCATGCTCGGGTTCGGGCGGACGGCCCGTTCACTGATCGGTCGTGAAAAACTGACCCAAACGGGCACCTCAAACAGGCCTCAAACGTTCAGGCTGACCGGCACCTCTCATATCAAGTCTAAATATGCGACGGCCCAGGTGCGCCCGTCACGCCAGCCCGGCCCATCTCGACCCCAGAAATATCCTCGTCCGAAAAATCCTAGACACCGGTCAATCCGAACTTCACTTCACCCCTTCTTCGTCC